TTTTTTTTTTTTTTTTTTTTTTTTTTTTTTTTTTTTTTTTTTTTTTTTTTTTTTTTGCCTACAGGGATGGTGTTCCTCTCTTTGTCTATGTCCATTTGCAACTGAAAATCCTTCAGGATTCCCCTCTGAGCAGAGTGCCTCCCCACCATGGTGTATGGGCTGCAGCAGTATTCATGGCTGGCCCAGTAGTGGACATTTTGAATCCTTAAGGAGAAATATCCTACAAGCTGTTATGTTTCTGCACAGCAAAAAGGTCCTACAAGCTGTAGGTTTCTGGCCAGGAACATTTTTAGGCTTCCTTGCTTGCTCCCTTACTTGCCTGCCTGGTTTTGCTGCCTTTTCAGGTCTTTAAAGAACTTGTCTACTCTGTCTCCTCTAAAGAGTGGAGCTGAAAATACTCTTGCCTTTCTATGTCTACCTCCTCATTTAAAGTAAAGGGCTGCAGACTTCTGGGTTCCTGTTAATTTTGGTGGGTAAAAATGTCCCATATTTACCTGGTGTTTGTATTTGCAGTGTTAATAGAAAGAAAGTTCTGTTGCAAGTATAAAAAAAGTCCCGAGCAGGTAACACTGAGGGGACCCTGCAGCCCGAGCAGATGATAATCTGCTCTTAGCTACTTCTGTCACCTTTTTAAAGCATCCTCATTTTGTTTCTGAAATCTTGTGACAATGCTAACACAGCAGTCTCATTCAAAATGTCACTCTACAAAGGGTTCTTACAAAGTCTGGTCCTCATGACACTGGAGAGGTGAGCAGGTGATTGATCACCACACACATTCACACAAACATTTGGTATGTTTTGGAAGGTGTGTGTTTTCCTTTGTTCAAGCTGTGTTTGAGAGGATCATGTTTACAGAGGATTCAGGTATAAACTTCAAGAAAAACCAATGTTGGCATGGAAATTACTTCAACCTTCTCTAATTGATAATGCCAGGTGATTTTATTCCTGATTCTTTGTGAAAAGAAAGCAAGGTAAGGGTGAAGTAGGAGAATTTTATGGCTTTTGGTATAGAGTTACATGACATTATCACCACTGTTCTTATCCTCCTAATTTTACCTAGATGAAGATGGTTGTGGAGGTGTTGGGAAACTGGGCTAAGAGCTCCCACTTTCAGTCTGAGGGTTGCTGGAACAACTCTGGGAACCATAGCCACAGTACAGCTACTTTGAATTTTCCTGCTGATACACGTGAAGAAAGATGGAGCAAAAGACCAGACTTCCTCCTGTAGACTGTGCTGGACTAGGAAGAGTAGAAAATGTGTTGGAGGTCACCCTGTTTAGATTTCCAGTCAGATCTTTGCAAATGAGATACATGGACTGAACTAAATAATAGGATGCAATTCATTAGACAAATACCAAGCTCTAGTTTGAGGTGAAGAGTCAACTATCCAAACCTGCACTGGGAGAGTAACTTGGTGAGACAGCAGTTTGCAGATAAGAGTCTGTGGACAACAGTGGAGCGTGTGCTCACAATGCCACACTGCAAGCAGGGCGAACTGTAGGTGTACAAATAGAGGCACACGATAGACACAGGGAGGGACTGTCTGATTCTGCTTGGCACTGGGGACACCCAAAGCCTGAGGGTTTTCTTTGTTTGTCCACTGTGCCATTTTGCTTTTTAAATAGCCTGCTGACTCTATGGTGTGCCTTGGGAATAACAATTCTGAAAAAGGATTTGCATGTAAAGATTAGCAACTCTAAAACTTGAAGAGCCTCCCTGAACAGCAAAAATATCACACAGGGAGAATCCAGGCAGAATCCATTGCTGCCTGTCCTGCAGCAGCAAAATTTTGGTTTCATGTGTGATACTCAGCTGTACAGCTTTGGGGGATAAATGCCTGTCAGGATAGTACCCCTCAAACCAGTACCAAGGGACTGCTATGTCTCCTGCCCAATGATGTCCCCACCTGATCACAGCTTCTGCAATATGCTGGGGGCAGCCCACAGATACTCCAGGATCCCAGCTAACATGCCTGAATGCTGAGATAGAATGAGTCTGGAAAGCACTGGAACACAGATAGGAGCTAACTGATGTGCAAACAGACAATGTTGCCAGAGACTGGTTTGGCCCCAACTCCTTCTTCACCTCCTCTTTCTCAATCACTCAAGTATATCCTTAAAAAACCTGGCTCAATCCAGTGATTGGCTCATCCCTGAATATCAATCGCATAGAGCACCTAATCCCAAAACTGATGACAGACTCTGGGTGTTCAAATGGTCACCTGAGCCTTTCCCACCTTGTCTGCCTACCTATAAAATATAAGCTTCATGGATTATTTGGA